AGGGCTGGGGGCAGGCCCGCAGCTCTACGTGGCGCCCTACAGGTCTGTTTAGACTTAACATCAGCATTCGACTTCGTACCACGTCATCTGATCGCTGAGGCTTTGCAGGAGGCGGGCATTACGGGTGCCCCGGCTGAGTTGTTGCTGACGTGGCTGCACAATTGTTCGTACGATCTTTATGTGGAGGGTCGGTGTGCGCACATCCCAACCACCCGGGGAGTGAAGCAAGGCTGTCCAGCCAGTCCGCTTCTGTTTGCTGCCTTCATGACGCTGCTCACACGACGCCTAAGCACACGTCTCACGCCAGACTGGGTAGCACAGCACCTCACCATGTTCGCCGACGATTTTCATGTTGGTAAGTGCTTTCATAGCTTTCACGAGCTGGAAACTCTTAGCGCGCAAATCGGCTTTATTATCACTACCTTGCGCAAGCATGGCATGAGTGTTCATGCAACCAAGGCCCAGGCGGTTCTCACTATGGATGGCACACAACGCAGCACAGTTCTCCAAAAACTCACACGCAATACAGAAACCGGTCGCCTCTTCCGAGTACACACTCGATATGGAGACGAATTCTTGCCTCTCCTCTTGTGCGCAAGGTGGACTATCTAGGTGCGGTGACCACCTATGATTCCTATGCCACAGCCACTCTTCGCCGTAGGACTCTTCTGGCCAAAGCAGCGCATTCTCGTCTCCGGGGTGTATTGCATGCGTACCGCACACTCACCATCACTCACCGGGTCAGACTGTGGAAAGCAACGGTGTGGCCGTGCCTTGCGTACGGCCTGGAAATCTGCGGTCTCACTGAGGAACATCACGCTCAGATCCAAACATTGGTGATGCGCCATCTTCGCGGGATCGCACGGAGCCCAGCTCACTTGACCCATGAGTCAGATGTAGCCCTCGCGCAACGTCTGCAAGTTTCTCTTCCCCGAGTGGCGCTTCGCCGCACTTTTGAGTCTGCCTTTGGTCGACAGGAACCTGACGATCCATTTGTTCTTTCGTTTGAGCACCCGTGGAATCAACATCTTGCACACTGTCTGGCTGACCCGGACCCTGCCCCCCCTGCCGCTCCCCCTTCCTCCTCCTCTACACGGACACAGCCCTATGCTCACGCTCCTGAGGTCGATCCTGCTGCGTCATCTTCAGCTCATCCCCCAAATCCTGAGCAGGCAACCGAAGCCCAGGGTGCCATATCTCTTCCACGCCAGTCTGCTGAGGTGTCTGCGGACCTCCCATCGAGATCCTCGACACCGCTACCGACGGCCTCTTTTGAGGAGGCCGGGGCCACCACAGCCATTGAGGAGGCCGGGGCCACAATAACAGCTGCAGTCGGTCCCTTTGCATGTCCGCAATGCCAGAAGTCCTGTGAAACTCGGAAGATTCTCAAGTTACACATGTCACGAGTTCACCATGTCAAAACTCCCCCGCACCCCTTCAATCGTGCCACTCACTCGGTCAACGGCATGCCGACCTGTGCTTTGTGTCTTCACTCGTTTACCCGTTGGGAAGTGTTAGAGAAACACATCAGCTCCTGGAGTTGTTCGGCCATGCCCCTGCCGCCCTCTCACACCGCGGCTCAGGATCCGCCCCGTGCGCCCTCATTCACATCCGCGCTACAACCGCTCCCCACCGATGCCACATCGGCTGCTCGGGATACTCCATCATTTGCGACGCTGCCGCCGGCTCCTTTATCACATCCCACCCAGATGCCCTCTGCCACCTCGGTTCTTGCTCACGGACCGAGACCAGATGTATCCCCTGCTGCCAGTTCCATGTTTGCTGAACCACAGTCCTTCAGTCCCTCCACGGCTGTACAGTCTCTGGCTGAGGTCGCGCCGGCCTCTGAATCGCTCCCTGAGCGAGTCTTGACGATTTTGAATGCGGGGGGACTTCCAGCTCTATTGCGAAATGTGATTACCCGAGCATTGCTCCATCACTGTGGTATTTGCGGTCAATGGATCGCGTCACCCACTGCACTCAAGAATCATTACCGCACGCTGCATGCAGATCTCTTTGACAGGCTCGCAGGACAGGTCGATAAGCAAGTCATGCGTCACGGCATTGCCTTAAATCCTTGTCTGTACTGTAATATCTCACATCGTCATTCGCGGCAGCACATCTCTCACTGCATTAGCCTGTGGCAGAGTTGCTTCCTCCACGCCCTTTCCGAGAATGGCGGTCACGACGGCTCCCACAAGCTCTCCAGAGGCCCAGGAGGTGCTGGTGCAGCTTCAGAGCTGCTTCGGGGGCGTACTTGCCCAGAAGAGGAGCCCGGAGGAGCCGATGCCAGCAGAGCAGAGAGACAGGTCCCAGAAGACGGGGAGAGGAGCCGTAGCCCTCGGAGGCCAGGGCAAGGGCTTTCAAGGCAAAGGGGGCAGACGCCGTCCGAACGGCCGGGGCAAGGTTCCACCCCCTGCCGACAATCGAAGCTTCTCGAGTGGATCCACGGCGGACAACGAGGATGCAGAACTCCTGCATCTGTTGGCGAAAGCAGTGGTGCGACACGAAGATTCGATAAACATCCTACGCAGGTCCACTGGATGGGTGTGGTGGGCCCGCTCAGGAGAGGGTTCGGTGCTTCCGGTGCTCGCCGAGCTGGCACACAAATGGTCAGAGGCTGCCAGCGGTCAGGAGATCCAGCCGAATCGAGTGAGCTTGCGAGTCACCCTTCTCTGGGGCCTTTTGACCTTCCTCAAGGACAAGCTCAGTGGACTCACTCAGGATCAGGCGGCCTTTGCGGTGAAGAGCTCATGGGCAGACACGAACGGAGGCTGGAACTATCAGAAGTGGGATGCCCACCACCAGATGCTCATAGTGGACACATCAAAACCGCCGCTCAGCACGGCACAGGCTCTGGAGAGCCTGGGGACCCTCCTTCAGGTTATCAACGGCGATACCCTGACCCGCTTCACGGCCACCCAGGAGATCCGTGCGGACACGCAGGGCAAGATCACCTTCAATGCGGACATCAGCCTGCGAGCGCCGGGCTCCGACACCCTGTACCAGGAGTTGGTTCGCCTCCAGGGCTCAGCTCTGTTCCAGATCATTGGGGTTCAATTCAAGCCGGAAGGGTACAATCGTCCTCCTCTGATTCGTCGGATCCAGCAACTGATTGGGTGAGGCGGGTCACTTTGACTAATCGCACTAACGTCTGTTATCTCAACTCTGTTGCGCTCTGTGTCACTTGGACAATTCTCAGCACGCCTCGTCTGCAGCCACTTCTTTGTCAACACGGCCGCCTTGCGCTTGCCGTGCTGCTTGAGGCCGCCCACCCCATTAATCTGTTGCAGTGCCCGCACTGGCAGCGCATGTTGCACAGTTGGGCGCAGCCCACCCGCCAGCACGACGCGGCGGAACTGCTTCTGCATCTCGTTCCCTTGCTTGGGCCTCAGGTTTTCGCCGGAGTTTGGGAATCTAGACGTCAGGAGCCTAGCCACGTCCGTACTCTTGATGGAGGGGAGTGTGCAGCCGCCATCTCTCTGGATCTTCCCATGCGCAACGGTAATACTTCGCTGCAGCAGCTGATCAATTCCTGGCATTACCAGCACACCATACAAGCACTAGTACTCCCCCCTCCTATCTTGGTTCTTAGGCTCTCTAGGTTCTTGGCGACCCGCCGTGGATTCAGGAAGCACACCGGTTGCATCAGTTGGCGCGCCTCTGTCTACATTCCCGTTTTTACTGATGCAACGCTGCAAACACAGGTCATTGAGTATCAGATTTTGGCAGCTGTGTGCCATCGAGGCCAGCATGCCACATCGGGCCATTACACTACCGTGTTGCATCGGCATCCGCAGGCATGGCACTGCGATGATAACATCAAGCCCAAGCCCTGGCCGCCAGATCCCGAGGATTCGCTGCAATTCTCCTCGCCTCAGGTGTATCTTTTGATATGCCGGCGAGGGGGGGCGGCCAACTAAGCACCAGGTCGGGCTGCGCAAGGGCACACACTGCGCTGCTACTGTTGAGCTGCCCTCATTCTCCTCAGGTTGGCACCGGGTGCATCGTTCTGATGCGAAGGGTTACTGAGGGGACTTGCTGGCGCTCCGGTAGAAAGCTGCGTGTGTGTCGGCCATTGTTGGCTATCGATGTGTGCCACTCCCTCCTTGATTGTAGCACAATCCCAACCACGCTCACACCACTTGTTTCAACTCCCGCCTTCCCACCACTCCATGTCACTCAGGCTGGCTCCGAGCTGCATGCATGTTTAATGCATCTTTATTGGTAGGAGCCTCAGTGCCTGTTTTAGCTCCTGCCCTGTGGTAGTTCGAGCTGTCCCGCATGAGATGTAGGCCTCCAGCCACTGGGCAACACCGCATCGCCATATCCCACGCTGTCATGCAACATTTACCCCATCGAGCCACTTCCTATGCCCTACCCCTCGTCCTTCCGCAACTTTTGTCTTAGCGCACATAAGTAATTCCATGTGATCAATCTGACTCGCTAATTTCTGAGAGGACGCGGTTCTGAGATGGTTTTCTAGGAGCTGCTGCTGCGGGTCTTCTCTTGGCCTACCCGCCTTGCATCAGGATCGTGATTCGGAATTCTCAGGTTTCGGGACGTCCTTCTCGCTGGCCTACTTCTTTTGCGGCTGTCGCGGGCATCAACGATCACATTTACTACGGCGTCTTCCCAGGGTTGGGCTCTCTGGCTCCTTGGCTCTCTCTGGACTTGCGCTCACTTCCGGCGCATCCTTGGGGCTGGTGGCTTATCACGTTGACGCCTGATATTCTGCAGGTCGCAAGCAACTGCTACTGAGCACCCAACAAAAAAAAAACAAGGCCAATGTTGCCGCAGAAGCCGGCACATGTATCTCAGGAGCTGTGGGAGCTGGAGTTACGTTACCATCTATCCTAGGCATGGCTCATCCGAGCATCTCCGTTGGGGATACAGACTCCGAGGACTTCTCACCGATGGGCATCGCAGCCTCTGCTCCACCTACCCCAACGCCGACCTCTACCTTGGCACATCCG